TTTGATTTATAGTTTTCCATTAACCAAGTATTTTCTCCCTATCTAACATGTTTAAGATTGGGTTTATTTTAATATAGGGTCTAATATTTTCTGGTACTAATGAATATCTATGTAAGGGTAAAAAAATTTACATTCATAGAACTTCACTCAGATATATTTTAATATCCAAGTTACATTCTAAAAGAATAGCTAGATATTTTGAAAAAGGATAGGACCACCTGTTTAATAGAAATTCAATATTATTGGTTTTGACTTGAGCATGATGTTTACTGTTTAGTTATACAATATTTGATTTATAAACAAGCCAAATCCACCAAATAAAAGTCTGGTCAATAAGTTGAGTCGCCATTCTCTATAGGCTTTGGGAAGATCTCTCCATTGATTTTATTATAAAATTATTCTGAATAGGTCGAGGACAACAAATCATATTTATTATAATTGATTGCTTCAAAAAGATAATATATTTCTTGTCAAGTTCAAAAACTAATATTGTTGCTAGATTATTCTTCAAGGAAATTGTGCATTTATATGGAGTTCCTTTAACCATTATGTGTGACCGAGAAGTTCCATTTATTTCAATTTCTAGAAGAATTTATGGAAGTTACCAAGCAAAAAATTAAAATTTTCATCTGTCTTTTATTCTCAAATTGATGACTAAACTAATGAGGTTAATTATACTTAGGAAATCTATACTATCTTGTAAGAAAAAAAAGGTTGGGAAATTGGAATTTGCATCTATATCTACCATCTTGTAAGAAAAAAAAAAGGTTGGGAAATTGGAATTTGCATCTATAAACCCCTAAGTTTGCATATGACAGTATTATTTCTCGAATAAATAAGACTTCACTTTTTAAAAAAGTATATGGTCAAAATCTCAAACAACCCAATGATGTAGTCGACCTTCCGTCTCATACATTCTCTGATTCAACATTTTCATTCACCAAAACTTTTCAAAGCATCCCTATGATACTCTCAAAAAGCAAATTAGTCTAAGTAATAATACATATGCTTCCTAGGCTAATCATATTAGGTCAAGAAGACTATATTTTGATTCTCATTTGCTCGGGGCAATATTACATAACCAAGTTAATTAAATTAAATGTAAGAGCTACTGGCTCAATTAAAAGTCTTAGAAAAATTAGATCTATGTCCTACCCCTTTATTTGTCTACAAATATATTTATTCACTATGTTATTAATATTAAAGATATTCTATCATATAGAAAAAATTAGAAAACCTCAATTTATTTGGTCAGACTTTTGCAAGAAATAGATCTCCATTTACAAGATCCCCGTTTCTTAAAGTTAGTTATATCAAAACAGAGGAAGCACTTATCAACCAAGTTGTAGAGCATAATTTCTAGTTTGTTGGAAGAATAAATCATGATTTGATGATAAATGAGTGACCTGCTATGACATGGAGACTCTAACACTCCAATTAGTAGAAGACTTCTTTTCAACACTATAGAGCAAAGTTCAATTAAGCCTAAAGGAGTTGATATAACACATCATAGGGATCAATAACACCAAGCCAAATGACTCGTTATAGAAGCCCAAGTAAACCAACAATCAAAACCTAATCAAGATTCATCACAAGGGTCCAATAAAAAATATTTAATTTATATTTTATAATTTAAATTTTAAATTTAGTATCTAAAATCTTTGACTTTTCAAACGTGGAGATTTGTATGGGCTAGTAAAAAAAAAGGAAAAATAATTTAACATGGTGATTGGCATCTTCCTCCATTAATAACCACTTACCTTTCACTCTAAAATTTATCATCATTTATTTGAATTATGCTAAATGAAGGCTATATAAATAGAGTCGGTATATACGAACTTGTCACAGTTAATAAATGAAATATTTGAGTGAATTTTTTTTCTCATTTTCTACATGGTATTTGGTGTCTTCAAGTGAGCGCATTTTCTTTGGAGAAATTAGGTAGGATCATTGCTCTATTTTTTAAGAAAATTCAGTTTGCTGTTATCTTAAATCATACTCTCAATATTATTAAGATCATCTCAAGATCCTCAAAGTTAAATTACCGTCCAGTACTCAACCCAACACTTAAAACTGCTCCAAAATTCCTCTTAAAATCTCTCGATTAAATTAAACAGAACTAAAATTTATTTTCATTATCTACACAATGACACCCAAATAAACCTCTATAAACGTAATCATCTCTACTTTAGATCATAACTACACATCCTAATTCAACCATAGGTAAGAATCTCCAGCTATTTATCCAACCTTAACAATTTCCATAAGAATATCTTTTAAATTATCCCAAATAAGACTAATATAGAGGAGTCTAGGCATTCTAATCATCATAAAACACTGAGCCCTTACAAATTCCACCTAAAATTCTATATCTCTTTTCTAAATGCTAAAATAAATATTCAAGGCTTTTACTAGTCTTTAATCTCACTGAAGAGTCACCCAAAACTATCACCTATTGAAATGTACTATAATGACAAATCCATTAATATTGAGCACAACTTAGTCCATCATAGTTGAACCAAACATGTGGAGGTGGGCTCGCATATCATAAAAAAAAATAAAGAGTTGGTTGATTTGCAGTCGTTATATTCCATCATGTAGTCACTTCATTCATTAAACACCAAAAATATTTCAATCAGATATTTAAAAATATTTTAGATATACTTGGAAAGGCAAACATCTACCAACTAGTTTAAATGTGAGTATTGAAGATTCAAATTCAAACAACAAGAAGGAAAGTGGACAACAACAACAATGCAAAAAAAAAAAAAAGATGGTTGACAGTCAATAGTAAATTTGGAAGTGAGCAACAACAATATAAGTAAAGAAGAGCAAATGGACAATATCATATTCAAAAAGAAATGGCTTCTAATATGTCGTATCTGATCTTATGTCAAAATTTTGGTACTAATTATGTTTGTTATTTTCTATTTCACCCTATTTTGAATTCAAATTTAACAAGTGCAAAATAATTTTAAAGATAGTTTATTTCATAAATTATTTTAGATAATCAAATTGTATCCGCTACAAATAATGGATCCCAAAGAAATTTAGTGCATTGATATGAAATTCCTCTGTGATGACTCATAATTTTTATTATAAAAATCATAAAAGTTATGTCCCAATTTGCTTGGTGATATCAAATGATAAATTTATTAACTCAATTTTTTTCAAGTCAAATGAGTTGAAGTGGTACTTTAGCCCTCTATTCTCGAAATTGTAGTTTTGCCTCTACTTATACCCTTATGTATGATGTGGGTATTGTTGCATTTCTCTCAAGAATTTGGCAGTGAATATCTATTGCATTGTTTCTTTAGCTTGAATTTTTTTTTCTATTAGATGGACCTATGTAATCGTTATATTCTATCTATTCAAATTTTGAACTTGTAACCCTCTTTTTTCTATTAATGGGATTAATTCGTGGTCACTACCAACTTAGTTATTCAAATATTACTTATTATGGCATACAATTTATTTGGATGGCATCAAATTTTATATAACAAAAGTGCTATATTTCGTGGATGTTTGTATTTCAATTGCTTCATATGTGGGTATTGGATAAAATAAAAGTTGAAAGTTGAGATCAATTGGAATTAAATTGGGCTAATCGTATAAAACTCATATCTAAAAGCCGAAAGAGAAATTTTTAAATAGTTGATGAGGTATATGCTTGAATAAAATTTTTTCCTTCTTGAATTTGCTAGTTGGATATGCAACTTATTTGAATGTCATATAAGTGTGACTATCAAATTCAAAGTGAAATCATCTCCTTACACCAAAAGGAGGATTGGATTTTTCTTTCACTTCAATGATTTTTTTTTTTTTTGGATATTTTATTCTGCATAGGTTGGTATTGCCTTTCTAATGGTATTGCCTTTCTAATGTTCCTTTTTTTGTTCAAATTTGATATAACTGGTCTTCTAACTGTGATGAATAAACTATAACTATTTGAAGAATGTACATGATTTGAATTTCCTGAAGAGTTGTTTGAACTTATTTGATTATTATATTATTTGTTTTCTAATTCTCATGCTTACTAGTTAACACAAAAAGAAAACAAAGTTTACATCTTACCTAATCTAAGATTTACGAATCATGTCTCTTTGCACATTATACAAATTGCATCTGACCATAAGTCCCTGCATCAATTGATTCATTCATAACTTGAACACATAATTTGGTATATTTTCTTGATATAAAAGATAAAGCATAGAAGAGGATTACAATTTAAGCTATATTATTAAATAAATAAATTTAATTTCCCCACAAATGTACATTAGCATACTATCAATACGACCAATTTAATTACTAAGGAATCGAAAAGAAGCAAGATTAATTTTATTTGTTCAAAAGGGCTAGTACCAAATCAAATTAAGTTTGTTTCCAAATCTAAAATTAATTACTAAATAAAGTTGAGCGAACTCTTTATCTGGACAAATACAACCAATTTAATTACTAGGGAATCGACCAGAAGCAAGCTTAATTTTATTTGTTCAAAAAGGCCTAGTGCCAAATCAAATTAAGTTTGTTTCCAAATTTAATATTAAATACTAAATAGAGTTGACATTACTCTCCATTTGGAGCAAAGCCAACCCAATTTGAACTACTTATACCAATAGCTGATAGATAAATTCATGCATCACTCATAATCCTATTAAGGAAAATATTATGAAACATCGATATTGATCAACAAAATAAACAATAATGGAAGCCAAAAAAAAAATTTGCAGTAGTTCTTTTGAACTTACTTTTTTTCACATTGCCAGCAGAAGGACCATTTAGCATGTGCTAATACTCCTAATAATGATATTCCAAAGTCTCAACAGGAACTGTTTCGGCATTTACCCAATGAAAATTTGTAAAGAAAGAAGCACACGCATCTTTGACCTGAAGCAAATGTACAAAACACAAGGAATGAGAACAATAGCAAATAAACCTACATTTAAAGGAAATCATACCTTTAAGTCACTGATTTCCATCTGCTTGATCAATTTTGTTACCCTATAAAGCAATTTTGAAGACCAGCTTTCAAGTAAATGGAGGCTCCATCTTTTTTATATTTTTATGTTGAATACTAGAGCAGAGTTGGTCAAATCTATGCTGGACATATATCCTTCCCTTCTACCTCCAGTATATTTTACAAAGCTCATTCTATGAGCTCCTAGCAATAGCAGTAACTGACCTTTAGAAAGAATGGATTACTAAAATCTACCAGTAATCTCCACATGAGCATAAGCCATCCCTAAAGTGATGAAAACGACTTGAATCCCTTAGAACAATTTCACGCCCAACAATCATTGATATTAGCTTTATTGCTGCGTGGCAGTCGCCACATACCCGTAGGTTTTTCATAACCCTTACAGTGCTTCCATTTGCAGTAACAAGAAGACCAAAGGCAACAGCAAGCTTCTCACTATGATACTTCAATGAATACTCTTTCTGTTCATCATCCACATCATGCAAGGCAAAGGTTTTCTCACAAATGTAACCATACTCTTTCAGCTTTTCATCTAGCCAATCAAGTTTTTTGTCTATCTCAGTGCTTAAAGGATTGGACCTATCTCCACAGACAAATTCATATCGGGTTTCGTTTACTGTAATCCAACTAGAACCTTGAATCTTCACAATACCATGAGACCTCATCATCATTCTTGTCTGCGCTACATCATTCCATCTACCAGCAGAAGCATATATGTTAGACAATAATACATACGCAGCACTGTTATATGGGTCCAGATAAAAGATCTCTCCTGCAGCTTTCTGGGCAATTTCTACATTACAATGCACTCTACAGGCACTAAGCAAGGCCAGCCATACCATGACATTTGGTTTCATAGGCATGCTTCCTATGAACTCCTCAGCTTCTTCCAGGTTTCCCGAACGACCCAAAATATCAACCATACAAGCATAATGCTCTGCTCGAACATCAACAGAAGGGTTTTCTTTCAACATTTGGAAAATCTGTCTCCCCTTTCCAATCATTCTAGAATGACTGCAAGCATTTAGAAGCCCAACAAATGTAATCTCATCAGGTTTAACATGGAAAGCTGACATTTGATCAAAGAACTCTAGTGCCTGGGACGCGTAGCCATTCTGGGCGCAGCCAACAATGATAGAATTCCATGATACAAGGTTCCTTATACTCATGTTGTTAAAGATCTTCAAGCAATCTGTTACATCTCCACATTTTGAGTACATGACTACAAGAGAGTTTCCAACAAATACATCCAAGTCAAATCCTTGCTTAATAACAGCAGCATGAATCCTTTTACCTCTATCAAGAGCTTCCAGCCCACAACATGAGCTCAGAGAACTAGAGAAAGTGGATTGATTAGGCATGATCCCTGACCGAACCATCTTGTAAAATTCGTCCAGCGCTTCTTCATGTCTACCATTTAAACCATATCCAGTTATAAGAGCTGTCCACAAGACCACATTTCTATTCTCAACCTCCTCAAACAGTTTAGAAGAGCTTTCAATTTGCTCACAGTTGGCATAGAAATTGATCAGGGAAGTTAAAGTAAAATTTTCTTCATCATAGCCCGTCTTGATAACAGTCGCATGAATCTGGATGCCGAGGTCTGAATCTGTTGAATTAGCACAAGCAGTTAGTGCACAAGCAAATGTACTGGAAGTGGGCTTAATACCTCGAACCCACATTTGCTGAAAAAGACACAAAGCCTTATTGCTGTCATCAATCTGAGCATACGCCCCAATCATTGCAGTCCAAGATATCACATTGCGGTGAGGCATTTTCTCAAACAGCAATTGTGCATCATGAACTCTACCATTTTCACAATACCCTGTTATCATTGAATTCCACGCAGCAGTGTCCCTGTCAGGCATTGTATTAAACAGCTTCTCAGCAGCATCAATGCAACCAAATTTTGCTAGTCCACTAACAATAGTGGTCCAAGAAATCACATTGCGCTCAGGCATTTCTGCAAAAAGTTTCTGAGCAAGGCACAAGTATCCACAATCAATACAAGACTTGATCATGGAGTTCCAGCAGGGAATGTCTCTGCGCGGCATGCTATCAAAAAGCTGCAATGCATCGCCAATCCGATTGGCTTGCGAGAAACGGTTGATCATCATGGTGTAGAGATGAATATCTGCAGATGGAATTTGAAGGAAGATGCGGTGGGCTTCATCAATATCCTTGTTTCGTAGGAGATATAAAATTGATTTCCCCCTGCAGATGTCTTCCATCGAAAGGTTCTTGGCAACAGCAATGGGGCTTGAGGGTCTTGTGGTAAGATTAGAAGAAAGTCTACAAAGTGTTGATGACAGTTTCTTCATGCGAACCCTTTAAGTCTTGCGGGCTCGCTCCTTTCAACTACCCTCTTGCAATTCAAAAAAATATGACATCAGGGGCTTCAGATGCATTTCTGAATTTAATGTTGGGGCGCCACATGTCAAGTAAGCTCTATTATTTTTTACATCTGTCAATACCAATGTATTATGGTGGAGCTCACTTCCTATTAGACTCCGAACGTAAAGAAGTTTTGATGTAATTTTCTCTCCTTTCAACTACTATTTTTACGTTTTTTACATCTGTCAATACCAGTGTATTATGGTGGGGCTCACTTCCTATTAAACTCCGAACGTAAAGAAGTTCTGATGTAATTTTCTCTCCTTTCAACTACTATTTTTAATTTACCTATAACCTACCTACATATATATAACATATTTGTACCCTACAAATAAATTTTACGTTTCTATTTTCATACATTTGTAGGCTACAGGTAATTTAACGAGAAATTACATGAGATATAACACGGATATAACCCCCCAATATGTGGGCAGCGCTGACGTCTTACTGACGTCTTACGCACGTAAATTTTTCTCAGGAGCGGACAGGTGCCTCTATTTTTTTCCTTTTTTTATTTTTATTTATTTTTTTTAGTTTCAAGCTAATTTTTCTTTTGACAATGGGAAATTTATGCCCATGATCTAATGCCAAAAACTAAGTTAAGATAGAATATAAAATCGAAATCGTTACATTTATATCAAAGTGAATGTAATTGTACAAAATTCAGTCAAGTTTTCGTCTCTTATATTTAATTCAAAATTAATTTAACAGTTTGGATGTATGTTTAATTAAAAATTCTTCAGCATATTATGAACTAAATCTTTTCCTTAATCCATTTTGTTTGTAGACGAAAGTATGGGACAAAAATGATCGGAATGGATTGGTAATTTTGTAAAATTAGATAAAAATCGGAATGAATTATAATTTATTTACGTAAAAATGCACTGCATTATTTGAGATTATTATTTAGGCATGATAAAAGTTATGTTTAATACATTCCTGTTTTAGGCAAATAATTTTTTTTAAAAGTATTTTGTGTTAAATATTTTAACATATATTTTGCCAAATAGGATTGTCAAAACGGCTCGTGTTTGACTCGTTAAGAAGCTCGTGTTTGGTTCGTTAATTTTATTCGATAAATTAACGAGTCAAACGCGAACTAAGATGTGTTCGTTCGTGTTCGGCTCTTTTTGGCTTGAAATACTACTCATCAAGTTTATATATATATATATATATATATATAAAAAAAGTAATATTAAATTAAGAAAATAGAATAAAAATTATTAAATTAGATTCAAATGATATTTTAATATAAATAATAATTTTTATATCTTGCTCAAATTCTTATTGTCTTATGGCTAAATTATTAGGGTTATTAAAATGATTCTTTTTTCGTGAACAGCTCGTGTTCGACTCGTTAATCAAACGAGCCGAACACGAACACACTTTTTGAGCTCGAAATATAAACAAGCTGAGCACGAGCTGATTATGGCTCGCTCGTGTTTGGCTCTTTTACACCCCTATTGCCAAACACTTGACGCTTGACCTCCTGACCCAAAGCATTTTTTTATATATATATTTAGACTATTAACTCATTGACCAACTTACAACACAAATGAGTCACTAAATAATTTGATTGACCAATTTGCTAAAAAGAAATAAATTATTAAAATGAATAAATTTGATAAGTAAAACAATGTATAAATATGTGTGCTGCGTGTGTGTGATAAAATATTAAAATTTAGGCATTTTATATGTAAAACAATACGAATTATGTGGCATATATGTATGTAAAAATTTCACTTTTTAAAAAGGCAATGAAGGTTTGAATTCTTGAAAGAATGGAGGAGAGATAAGGGAACAAGAAATAAGAGATGATATTTTAGAATTTACAAATCTTATTTATGTTATATTAACACATCAATAGAAAAGCTAATATTGAACTACTTTTAAAGCTGGTACAAATAATGCATAACATTAAGAAAAAAGCAAAAAAAACATATATATAATAAAATACACCAAACTTTTTTGCACTAAACTTCATCCAATCCAATGATCGACTCCCTCTATGATCTCCTATTTAAAATCACACACACGTACACACACATACATACATATAACATCCGCTCGCGTGCACATCACCTGCTTGTCAATAACGATGTTCATGCTGGAATTGAAGGATTTCTCAAGGTAACTCGAGCAATGAAATTTTCGATCGAAAGCAGATCAAAGTACTCATGTTTGTCGGCTTCCTGTTTAAACATATTACCATGCTCCGCCTTACCACAAGCAAAACATTGCCAAGAAGGACCCATCTTAAAATAGTGTCCTCAAAATTTATCATCATAAACTTTTTTTTCCAAAATTGCAAGGGAACTCTTAATGCTTTAACTTATTTTGTAATACAATTACGATAATAATTCAAAAAACATAATTTTATAACATGAGGCTTACGCTTTATAAAATATAAAAATTTAGCCTATATTTTAAAATGAAACCTCACACCTCAAAACATTAAAAAAGTATTCATGCGGCAATCTTTTTTCCCAATGATTGCTTTTTTTTAATGGAAGATATTCATCAACAATAAAAAACACTAACCAACAGCATCAGCATCAGCATCACCAATCTATTATTGAGGACAATGAATGCTTAGCCGAAAAAAAAGGTGGAAATAAAGCCAACAGAAAATGTACCCAAATATTCTCAACTATAAACTTAAAATGTATTCAAGGCCACCACCTCAACTATAAAATATAAAAATTCAAAAATAAAATAAAATAAAACATTTAACTGGTCCATAGATATTCATATCCATTGTTCTAGCACACAAAAGATAATGCATAAGCTAATGAAGGGCGTTATCAACTCACAGTGGCAAATCTCCACTATCAGCAATTACGACCTTGCTTTTAGGTGTTCCGTTTTGTCGCCCTTCTGCTTCAATTTTGTACACCACATCCATACCAGATAGCACCTTACCAAACACAACATGCCTCCCATCCAACCTGCCAAAAAAAAATCAATAATCACCAAATTTGGATTTGATGACCGAGCTTTCTATTCTGTAATGCATTATTACCAGCTCGTTGTAACTGTTGTGATGAAGAATTGGGATCCATTGGTACCACGGCCAGCATTTGCCATGGATAACAGTCCTAATTATTTAATGAAACAACATCAGTTTTAAAAAAAATAGTGAACTTTTGTCTTTGAATTTAGAGAGGCTTGGAAGTCCCTTGCCTGGTCCTGTGTGCTTGATTTTGAAGTTCTCATCCTCAAATTTCTCTCCGTAAATGGATTCCCCCCCTCTGCCATCTCCTAGAGTGAAGTCGCCTCCCTGGATCATAAAACTAGGAATAATTCTGTGGAATGAGCTTCCCTTGAAGTGAAGTGGTTTCCCACTTTTGCCTATGCCTTTTTCACCTATAAAATAGGAATTTTAATACAGTAGTTTAAATAATTTCCTGAAATAATCAAGATCTTTATACATAGCAATTTATCATAGGAACATTTTGGGAGCAATAACCTTCTTCCAGGAAATAGTATGGTGTGTTTGAAACAATTAATGTGTCAAGAAAGCAAAAAGAAATTACAGTTGTTTGAATACTAATGCGAACTCAGAGTATGCAATCGCATCATCGATAAAACAGGTCTTTAGCACAGGAAATAAAATCAATCAAGAGCTCAAGTAGTATTGTTTGAAGTTGTTTGAATACTGGTGCGAACTCAGAGTATGCAATTGCATCATCGATAAAACAGGTCTTTAGCACAGGAGATAAAATCAATCAAGAGCTCAAGTAGTATTGTTTGATCTAAATCTAGTCCGGATTCAAGTCCGACTACAGATGTAAATGAAAAAACTTGTACAAGATGGCTGTTTGTTTGTATTTGACTTGTTTGAAATTATTTGGGAACTATGTGCTCTTTTTCAGAAAATTAGAATTTAAAACAAACACAAGCCAATTTTGAACAAATAAAATTTGGAGCCCAATACAATGAAGTCATTCTATATGTGTAATTCAAAGTAAATATATATTGATCCAATGATGTGCTGAACACAATCACACAAAAATCAATCTGTATTTAGCTTGTTGAAAAATTCAGCTCAAAACTTATAATCAAGTTTGGCTTGCTCAATGAAAAAATCAAACACGAACATAATGAGCTAACCATGAGCTTTTCGAAAAAGACAAGCTTTTCAACAACCTTAGAAATGACAACTCATTCAAAATTTGTAGCAATACAAGAACATGATATCATGAAGATTTTAAAATGAATTAGCAAGGTGATTTATATTATTGGCATCTATCATTTTCAACGGTTCCATATTTATACATAAACCAAATTTTGTCATACTTCTAAAATTGTAGTTAGGTAGGACAGGCATAAAGGTCACCAACTTTGTATGTACGAATAAAAACAATGAACAGCAACCACTACTATTGCCCGAGGAAAAAAATGGCATGTTGAGCACCAAGTGCACCAATGGATATAATCCACCCAGCATTATACTGAGCAAAAACTCGCTAATACTACCATTTTTCATCTTCCATTTTCTTCATCCAAAACCATGTCTTTCGAGACATTTTTATATTGAAGATTACCATTTCCACATAAATTAAAAAAAATAACACCCAAAGAGAAAAGAAAACATAGATGTAGTCATCATTGCTCCTTTTTAGTATCATTTCTTAAAAAATTATTTGACAGATTTACCTTTGCATGGTTCTTACAATAATGAGGCTTCATTTTTAAAACAGTGCTAGAAAACAAGAAATCGGCTATATAGAGTAGATCTTATGGAAATAATCCTTAGAAAGTTAGCCGCCAATTAAATACAAATCCAAAACAAACTGAACAAAAAAAATAATAAAAGAATTTGGCAAGCAATTTCTACCAAAATTGCTATAAATTCAATATTTATTGTGAATACATAGGGCATGAAAGATAACATTGCAACATATCAATAGCAAAATTGTTAAAATATGCTATAAATTTGCTAAGGGTTTTATCCGTAGAAATAATTCAATTATAAGAACACACTGGGGTAATTTGTTGTTAAAAAAAGGATCATAAAGACTTACAAATTTGCTAAAGGTTTTTATCCATAGAAAAAAATCAAATAGAAGAACACACGGGTAATTTGTTGTTAAAAAAAGGATCATAAAGACTTTAAAGCCAAATCCAAAGAAATCCAAACACCCTCTATTAATGTCTTTCCAGCAAAATCATGACTTCAAGTTTCTACGATTTCAAGTCCGCATAACTAGAATGTAATTTATTACCCTTTTATTTTGTTCTCTCTCTCCTACAGTCCGCACAGTTGCTCTGGCTTCATTCCATATATAAATATAGGTGATCTCATGTCTCCTCACTATGACGATGATAGGAATATTATTGATTAATTAAAACTTCACTAAGAAAAATGATGATGATAAAATTATAACGGAGTAATAAAAATATATTTTTGGCTTATGAATCTAAATAATAGGTAAAATCAAAAAAGTAAAGTGTAATGAAATTGTGTGCAGATAAAATTTATAAAAATAAATCATTATTTGATAAATATTTTATTTCATAAAAATATAAAAAAAAATAATTCACAAGGATTTGCACTTGTGCATCATTAGATAAGGCTCTTGAACACGTCCTTTTTTTCTTTAGATATCCTTAGAACTTCCGAGTCAACTCTCTGATACTCATCAAACAGACGTGTGGGTGGGTATTTCTAAATAACCGCTAAATCAAAAAAAATAAAGTACGCATAAGATTGTGTGCAAATAAAATTAATAAAATAAATCAGAATTAGATAAATAGAATTACTTTAATAAGAATATAAAAAATAATCCACGAGAATTTATACTTCTCTATTATTATATCAACCATTTGAACAGTTCACTTTTTTCTTCTTTTGATATTTTTAGAACTTTAAAGTCTAACCTCTGATACTCACCAGATGGATGTGCGGTTGGGTATCTCTGCATTAATAAATGGCAGGCTGAGCACAAAGTACACCAATGGATATAATCCACCCCGCACTATACTAAGAGCAAAACTTCCCAATAATATAAATTTTCATCTTTCATTTTCTTCATCCTAAATCATGTTTTCTGAGAAATTTCTACATGGAAGATTATCATTTCCACAGAAATTACAAAAAAATAAAAAAAAGATGCAGCCATCATCATTCTTTTCAGCATCATTTCTTAAAAAAATTATACCTCAGCAGATTTATCTTTGAATGGTTCTTACAATAATAAGGCTTCATGTTCAAAACACTACTAGAAAATTGAAAATCAGCAATAGAGTACAACATATGAAAACAATCCTTATAAAATTAGCCGTTAATTAGCAATTCATCCAAAACAAAATGAACAAAAAATAATATAAGAATTTGGCCACTAAATTTCTAATAAGATTGCTACATGTTCAAAACTTGTTGTTAATACATAAGGCATGAAGGAGAATAATGCAAAAGATCAATAGCAAATTTTTTATAATATGCAATAAATTTGTTATAGAATTTTATCCATAGAAAAAAAAAAAGTTGCTAGCTTTTATTTCAGCTCTCAGAACACTCTGGAATAATTTCTTGTGACAAAAAGATCATAAAGACTTTAAAGCCAAATCTAAAAAAATCTTAACACCCTTTATTGTCATTCTTGTAAAATTGTGACTTCAAGTTTCTAGAATTTCAAGTCAGCATAGCTGATTACCCTAATCTTTGGTTCTTTTTCTCCTGCAATTCACACAGTTGCTCTAACTGCATGACCTATATAGACCTAGGCACTCACATGTCTCCACACCGTGATGATAATAGGGTTACTGGTGACTAATTAAGATATCACTGAGAACAATGATGATGGGAGGATTAAAACTGATTAATAAAAATATGTTGTTGCAAAGGTAGACCTAGGAAGACTTGGGCTTATTGTATTAAAAATGATCTTAATTTACTAGAACTAAATGAAAATATGACACTAAATAGGACGCAATGGAGAAAAAGGATTCATGTAGCCGACGTAGTGGGATTAAGAGGCTTTGTTGTTGTTGTTGTTGTTGTAATAAAAATATGTTGTTGGCTTAGGAATCAAAGTAACCAGTACAATCGAAAAAATAAAGTATTGAATAAGATCTTGTGTAAATGAAATTTATAAAAATAAATCTGTATTTGATAAATATATTAATTTAATAAAAAATATAAAAAATAATTCACACTAATTTGTAATCTATATCATTAGATCAGCCATTTGAACACTTCTTTTTATATATATACATATTTAGAACTTTCATGCCTAATCTCTGATACTCACAAAATGACCGAATGGGTGGTTGATATCCCTATAGAAAAAGATGGCATGCTGAGCACCAAGTGCACCAATGGATATAATTCACTGTGACCATCAGCAAAAACTCGCTAATGCTACTATTTTTTATCTTCCATTTCTTTCATCCTAAACCATGTCCTTCAAGAAACTTTTATTTGAAGATTACAATTTCCGCAGAAATTATAAAAAATAAAACAAAGATGCAGTCATCATTGCCCTTTTTCAACATCATTTCTTAAAAAATTATTCCTCGACAAATTTATCTTTGCATGGTCCTTACAATCATAAGACTTTGTTTTCAAAGCACTGTTAGAAAACTCGAAATCAGCTATAGAATAGATGCTATGAAAATAATTCATCAAAAATTAGCCGCCAATTAGCTACTGATCAAAAACAAAATGAGCAAAAAAATAATATAAGAATGTGGCCACTAGATTTCTAACAAAATTGCTACAGTTTAAAAATTTGTTGTGAAAACAAAAAACATGAAGGAAACATTGCAAAAGATCCATAACAAATTTGTTATAATATGCTATAAATTTGCTACAGCATTTTATCCGTAGGAAAAATGCTGCTAGTTTTTATTTCAATGTTAATAACACCCCGAGGTAATATTTTGCTAAAAAAATATAATAAAGACTTTAAAGCTAAATCTAAGAATTTCTAACGCCGTCTCTTATTGTCTTTATAGCAAAATCATGACTTCGAGTTTGTAGGATTTCAACTCCACATAGCCACACATTTCAACTCCACTAAGAAAAATGATGATGAGAGAATTTAAGAGGATTAATAAAAATATGTTGTTGGTCAAGGAATCTAAATAACTGGTAAAATCAAAAAAATAAAGTATCAAATAAAATCGCGTGCAAATAAAATTTATAAAAATAAACTTGTATTTGATAGATATATTAATTTAATAAAAATATAAAAAATTATTCACAAGAATTTGTACTTTTGTATCTTTAGATCAGCCATTTGAACACTTCTTTTTTTTAACATATATATATATATATATTGAAAAAAGGCATATTTATATATATGGGAATTTAGTGAGTGTGAACCATTAATACTCACTAGATGGGTGTGTGGGTGGGT